CACTCTTCTGTAGTGGTTCATTGAACCACAATACTGATAAGTGATTAATAAAAGTCAAAAAGACCAAAAAGGTTACCTTAATACAAAAAAAAAAAAAAAAAAAGATAAATAGAAATAATTGAGATTATATTTTAGTTCTGTTTTTTTAGCATCTTGTTTGACTAAAGCATTAGTAATATTATATAAAGAGTTGTTTGAATATAATTTAACTTTATGCATAATATAATTTATATTTTTAAGTTTGGTTAGATAGTTTAGAATATGGATAATATTCCAGTTATTCTGTTTGGTTTGAGAATTATAGTTATAAAGTATTGAATTAATAAGAGTTTGTATAGTAGATAAGCTATCTAAATAGATATGAATTAAGTAGTTAGGAGGTAGGATAAGAAATAATAATATATATTATTTTAGTATTTAGCAAATTTAATAACTTTACAAAGTATAAATAGAAATATATAGTATTAATTAATAATATATAAATAAAAAATAGTAATGCAATGACTGTAATAACTGAAAAATAATATTATTTAAAAATTTATAATAAATAATAAAATTCTTAAAAGTTTTTCTTTAACAAATGTAACAACTAGAAAATTTATTAAGTAGAATATTACCTAATTGATAATATATTTTAAAAATAGTAGCATCTCTAACAAAGACAGTAATAATTAAAATCTGATTTCTATTTAATGTATAATTAAATATAATTAATAAAAGATAATTAATAAAGAATAGAATATAAGTTTTACTAGTATGTAATATAAAGTTTTGTCTGTATTAGAATTTATTTAATTAAATTAAGTAATATTGTTACAGTAGGAAGGCCTTCTTTAACTCCTTATTATAACAATGACATGGCTACAGAAATCTTTTACAGATTTATAGCAATATCCAAGAGGAAAGTATAGTAGCTTTAACTATTTAGCAACTATACCCTTCTCTGGGCAGTTCAGTTAAAATAATACAACAGTTTATAACTTTATTAACTTAGGAGTGATAGACCTTGCCTATAAAAATTACCCTAGAGAAGGAATATCAATATAGTTTATAGATAAAGATAATAACTTTATTAAAGGAATAAGGCTATCTATTAGGTTTCTGTTCCTAAAGAATCCTTTTACACTTTACAGAAATTACTAAACTAAAAGGTAGAGGGAGAGAGGTGTCTGTGACTTGCTTGACTTGAGAAAATTCTTGGGGTTTATATATCCATTAACAATTGTTAAAGCTAAGCATCAAGGCTTAATAATTATTAGAGTAAAGTATTAGACATTAGGTGTCAAACATCAAGCATCAAGCATCAAGCATCAAGTGTTAAGCATCAAGCATTAAGTATCAAGTATTAAGTGTTAAGTGTCAAATGTCAAGTGTTAAGCATTAAGCATTAAGCATCAAGTGTTAAGCATCAAACACTGTAATCGATTTGTTCTACCTAATATAACTAAATAATAATAATAATAATAATAATAACTAATACTAATAATTAATAATAAAATATACATTTATGAAACTATACTAAAATATAATAATAAAATTTGTTCTATAACAATATAATTGGCTAATTATCACAGGAAATCATAGGTAGATTTATAAAACTTAGCCAATCAGATGAATGTCTTTTTATGAATTTTTATAAATTTACTAATTTGCAATTTTGATTAGCTAACCAATAAACAAAAAGAACTATTTCAAGTATGTTCCAAATCTGCAAATTATTACACAAAAGATTTAATTGATTTAAATTTTTTTTTATATATGTTACAATACTTTTTCAAAAGCCCAAATAGATTATCTCATCTTTAAAACAAACCAAGTGCTTTAAATAAACTTGAAGTTTTCATATTATACTATAATAATATCAGTTGAATTATTTTAAATTATTCGACCTTCACATTATAATTTACCTACTAAGGTTGCAAGTAATTAACAATTACTAGTTAACAAAATCTCATTTGCTAAACAAAAAAAAAACAAAAAATGATTAATAATAATAGTATAAGAAGATGAAATTAGTTTGTATTTTTTATTATTATATATTTTATATAGAAATCTTTAGAAAAGTAAAAGTTTATACAGTTGCCTCTCTCTATATTGAACCTTTATATACTGAACTCTTGATATAATGAACAAAAAGGTCTAATACAAATAATTTATATATATTTACACTAAATATACTAAACCTTTATAATAAATTTTGTATACCATATCTGAAACTAATTTGGCCAGTACATACAATCTATAAAATAAACAAATATATTTTATATAATGAATATTGTATCTAGTTAAACAATTATTCATCTTAAAATATTAAGACTTATGTGATTTCAGTGATTTTTCATTATTCAAACAATGAAAAATCTCTGAAATCACAGAAGTCTAAGCATTCTAATCTATATATAACAGTTTTTAACAATGAGTTCAATGTTATATAAAGCAGTATACATATAACTAAATGCTTTTTACTATATAATTTAGGCAAAAGATTAGTTTTAAAGTATGATTTCATTTTTTATAGTAAATTCTAAACTGTATATAGTAAGAAGAGTGGATTTGAATTACTACATCTCTATAGCCAAGACACAATAGAAACATAAAACCAATAAAGGCTGCTTGTAATGTCTAATTAAGAGATCATCTAATTTACTATTTAAAACATCTGATAAGAATTTATGCTTAACAATGCTTATCTATATGATTATAAGCTTCACTCATACTATTCAATCCAGAGACACTATATAATTGTTCTTTATAGATGCTTCACATTGAGCTAAACCTGAAATAGCATTTGTTAAATGCTAGCTTCACATGTTGATCATAATGGCTTAAGTCACACTATCTCCCCATTACTAATAACAATAAAGTTTAAAAGATTTTTAGATACAATGATTTTCAAGAAACTTTTTTAAATCTTTTGAATTTAGATATGTGTATACATGATTAACAATAGTAATACTATCATGTATGAGGCTAACTTTTACTAAAATTGTGTTTGCTTAAATTACTAACAAATGCATGAAAGAAAATTCAGATACAACTTTAACTACATATATACCTAAAGCTGTAATTTTAAATACAATGTTATAAAAGTTTCAATGGCTCAATAAATTTGTAGATAAATTAATTTAAAAAAAAGAAAAAACTAAAAAAAAAAAGAACAATAAAATAGAATAAATAAAATTTTAAACCAATAATGTGAATGACAATAATTGCCATTGTAATATAATTTTATACAATAAAAATCTTTCATTATTGTATATATGTATATATATACATACTTTAATCAAAAAAGATAGCATATAGGATTTGTTATATAAAATATAAAAATACTAAGAGAATGATTAATAACAATAAAGCATATTAATTAAACCTTATAAAAAAAAAAAGCATTATTTCAATATGCATATATAATAATAGAATTAGAACAGTAATTTATTTCTTCTATCTACAAAATAGAAGCTTTTTAATATTTAAAAAAAAAAATAAATAAATAAATAAATTCATGAACCCTCTGAGTTGAATTTAAGATTTGTTTATTTTATTAATAATAATTTTTTTTTTTTTTTGGTATTAAGGTGAGGTCATGCCCTCTAATCTTTATTAGTATATTTGTTATAGCTAGTATAAATCTATTATATATTGTCTATCACTATATATCTATTCAGACATAGGACTCAGACATATTTATCTGTGACCTAAACCTACTAAAGTTTTGTATTGTGTCTTATTCACATCTAACCTGGATTTTTGTTTCACTACTAATTATATTAGGGAATCTACATATTTCTCTCATGTTTTACAACCTATTTTTAACAACTCCCAAATTGGTCTAGCAGATCATTCATTCCTTTTAAGCTACCATCTTTGGTTTGCTTGAAGAGTGCCTTTCTAGCATATATCTTAAGCCAGGTTCCTGCTGCTACTGCTAACTTTCCAATTCAGATACTGGTAGCATGTATCTCAAGCCAGGTTCCTGTTGCCACTGCTGGTTTGCAACCCTTCTTGGTCTTAGTGTCATTTTCAACAAATTGTGCATCTAACCTGCTTCTTAAGTACTTCTTTTTATGGTATAGATGAAACTCTATTTCAGAGATGAGTACACATCCTCTTTCAGCTATTGACCGATATTTCTACTACTGTCACACCATGCTGCAGGTTTTTCTTTGTTTTGTTTCTAACCGCAGGCAATCTCCCTGCCTTTTTAAGAATATTCTAGCCCAAATCTACATTTAGATTAAGGTGTTTATATTATGTTCGAGTAGGTTTCTACTTCCAATTTAGGTATCTCAACCATGATTGGTACAGTATTTATGTTAGTATGTTCCACTTGTTTTGCCATAGGCTTCTATATAGGTGTGACCAGAGCTCCGATTTGAAACCTTTAGATGTACAAGATAGGCTACAACTTCTCTATGCAGATAGTTACCTTCTATTTTTAGTCATTCTACAGTACCAGAGGTGCTTCTAATCTTGATAAGGCTAATCCTTTGTCACAAACCTTCTATGCATGCACTGCTTTTCTTACCACTCCAGTTCGTGTTATCTTGGTATCACCTTTTCAATTAAGTACTTTACAAGTTGGATGCAGAGATGTTGGTACTGCCCTATCTTCAGAGAACTTATATATGCAACTCTTTGTGTAATGAAACTTTCTGTGACACCACTATCGCACATAGTGCCCATACTTTGCAAAGTCGATTTCCTTTTGGAAATTTCTTTTTCTGTCATATACTGCACTTGGACTTAAATACAGGGCTTTATGTTCAATTACAGGCTCCTTATTGGTTACAGAAGCTAAAATCTTTCGATTTTTGCTCTCAGTCAGACTTGAACTGTTGACCTTGACTGTGGGGGTATGGGAGCTTAACCATTAAGCTATAGGACTACACCCCTTTTATTAATAATAATAATAATGATAATATATTACTATATCCAATATTTTAAACAATTATAAATTCAAAAAAAAAAATACCTAACTAAATTAAAAGTCACATATAACCATGTCAACCAGAAAGCATGTTAATTTTACTGTTGCACAAAAAAGAGATCTTTGTGAACAAAAACAAAAAAACCTACTTATTAGTAATATCAATCTAACAAAGCAATATAATATTAGTAGATCAACTGTAACAGATATTTTAAATAACAAAGAATGATAACTTGTTATTTTGGATAAGAAGCAGAATAGTAAAAAATTTCAGAAACTAAAATGGCTGAAATTGGATAATACACTTAGCCTTTGGGTTAATAATGTATTAATTATGAATTAGAATATTAATAATGTAATTCTTAAAATATAAGCAAAATTTTTTGCTAAAAACCTAAATATTAAAGATTTTAATCAATCAGAAGGTTGGCTGAGTAATTTTAAGAAGTAAAATAGGCTTCATTAGTTTAAAAAACAAAGTGAAATAGTAAGTACACCTTCTGCTAAATCAATTGCTAATAATTGTACTATTTTATAACAAATTCTTACTAATTACAATCTTGAAGATATTTGAAATAATGATAAAACTGATCTTTGTTAGAAAATAGAACCTTCACAAACCTTGGCACATTCTAAAATCTTAGATCACAAAAAAGAAAAAGCTTGTGTAACTATATTGTGCATTACCAATACCACAGAAACAGAAAAAATGAAGCTTACATTTATTCACCAATTTAAAACACCTTGGACTATGCAAAATCTTAACTATAATAACCTTCCTGTATACTACTTTTGGAATAAAAAATCATGAATACAAGTTAATATTTTTAATACAATTCTTCTCAAATTCAATACTAGAATGAAACAAATAAACTAAAATATCATTTTTTTAGCCAATAATGCACTAGTGTATATCATTCTTGATAAAACTCAACAAAAGTTAAGTAATGTATATATTAAGTTTTATCCTAAAAATACTACATCAATCCTTCAACTCTGCAATACAGGAATTATTTATTTATTTAAATGTTACTACAAGCATCTTTTTGTACAAAATAGAATTAATGCATATGATGATTTTTAAAATAATTTTATAAAAGAACTAGTTGAATATAATATTTATCATGAATTACTTAATGTTGCAGAAGCTTGGTTAATGGTATCATCTGAAACAATTATTAATTGCTGAAAAAAAACTGATATCCTTCTTTTTGAAAATAATGAAGATGAACTAGATGTATTGATTACTGATCAAGAAGACTATATATTGGAAGATGAACTCGAAACACTAATTGCTAACTTATTAATAGATAGTTCTTTTAGTACTAATGAGTATATTTGTATTGAAAACAATAAGATTAAAGGTGGATTAATAAATGAAGAAATTTTAAAGCCAATAACTGATAAAGATAAAAAAGAAAATGAACCTATAAATAATAAGATTGTAGAGTTAGAAAAAATTAATAATACAGAAACAGAAAAGACTGTAAATATGGTATTGAGATTTTTATTTGAACAAGAAGTAGATTTTGATAAAGTTGAAAATAAAGTAAAAGTTTTAAAAAGTTTGCATAGAAGGATTAGATTAAGTTTTATTAAGAATTTTAAACAGGTAGAACTTGGTTACTATTTCATGAATTAAAAAAAAAATAGAATTATAAAATTAGTACATGGTTTTATATTAAATAAACATTAAAATTATTTATACTAATTTGAATATATGATGTACTATACCTATTTTATCTTACAATATAATTGTTTATATATATTAAAAGATATATCAAAAATGTGTACAAAGTTGTGTTCTGGAAGGTTATATAATAGTTCAAAAATTAATAAAATCTTTTTTCAATAACAATAGTGATAGTAATAATTATGATTTATATTATTAAGTTAAAATTTGTATTTCTTATATCTTAACTTGCCAAATATTAATAAATAAATAAACAAAATTTGGCTAAATTACAGATTCAATTTTACAAATTTTTTTACAAACAAACCAAATAGTTATATCAAGCTTGGAACAATAATTATACAATATAAATATGAATTTATATGTGAATATTAATATTAGAGAAAACTTTAAATAGTTTATTTTTAAAAAAATATCAAAAACATCAATGCATTTCATCTAAATTTATCTAATTAAAAGAAGCAAGTTTTTAAAAGTTATTTCACTATAATCCAGTTTGCTTTTTCACTAATGAAATTTTATAGTTTAAACTATACTGATGCAAAGTGAATAAAGAATAAAATATCTAAGAAATATAGATCTAATCATAATGAGTGCATAAATATGAAAAACTTAAATTTATTTAATAGTACAGTATTGCCAAAATAAATAAAATAAAGCTGTAAATTTTAAGTACAGTAGTTTGTTTATTGGGTAATTAAAAATATGATTAAAATTTTATTTTAAATTTATAGTATCTTTTCAACTATTATATAATATTCTAAAGTACAACTTTGTATACATTTTCAGTATACCTTTAAGAGAAATCAAAATATCATATATGATCACATGTTAAAATTTTATTGATCAGTTTTTTATACCGAATTTTTTATAAATGTTCAGTATAAAAAGAGTTAATTATATAACGAATTTACTCTATAACAAACAAAAATTTTTAGAACAGCCTGTTCGGTATAGAGAGAGTTGACTGTACAATTTATTAATATTATCATAGTAGAAACTTTTAGAATACGATGAAAAGGTTATATGTATACATGCACAATGTATGTTAAAAGTGTAAAGATTTCTTATTAGACATTAGTTGTTTAATTTAAAATAGTATAATGATAGTTTAAGATCTTAGGAATCTGAGTAGATATAGAATTAAATATAGAATTAGACATAGAATTAGACGTAGAATTAGATAATTAAGATTTTGTAAATAAATAGAACAGATACTAATAATTAAGATTTAAATTGATCAATACATGCTTACTTACTAACAATAATATTTGGCGGCATTTACTTTGAACTTTTAATTAAATTACGTTTCTTTTCATTTTATAAAAATTTAAAATTTGATTGGTTAATCAGCACGTGATAAATTTCGCATGATAAATATTTGAGAAAGGGAAAGTCTCCGGAGACTTTCCTGTCGTCTAAAGCCATGTACACACGTGACTTTTTTGTGTAAATCAACCAACCAGAATTGCGAAATTTTGTTTATACGAATCAGTCCGAAGAAGTCAAAAAATAAAGAAAACGCAAAAAGACGCCCAACTAACCTTAATTTTAATTTAAACAATTTAAAACGTTAAAATCACGTGGGTACATGGCTTTAGCCATCCCCTTGATTTAGCAAATCAAAATTGTAAATATTTAGAGAAAGTCTCCGGACACTTATCATTCACGTGATTTTGCACTTACCAAATATAAACCAACCAATCAAAGCTAATCTAACCCTAATGGTAAGTGCAAAATCACGTGAACTATTACATGGTTGGTAAGTGTCCGGAGACTTTCCCTTAGACGACCCCTAAATCTATGCATCCTTAAACCAATACGCGTGATCGCCGGTCGAAGGTTTTCCTTATTTGGGGGTCTGCTAGTTTTAGAGTTACCTTTTTGATGCAATTAGGGTTAATAGGTTATATAGAATATCAAGAATGTAATTTATGCAGTATTATGATCATATATTGAATTAACTCCGCTTTAGCCGACCCCCCAAATAAGGGGGTCGTCTAAAGCCATGTACCCACGTGACTTTTTTAGGTAAATCAACCAAACGGAATTACGAAATTTTGTTTACACGGATCAGTCCGAAGTTGCCAAAGAATAAAGAAAACGCAAAAAGACGAAAAACAGCGTTCTAAACCTGTCTTGGGGCACTAATTAAAAATGTGGGAAGGCAATTTTACCTATACTCCTTTTCTTATATTAATACCAACCTAACCCCAATCCTAACCCTAATTTTAATAAAACGTCAAAATCACGTGGGTACATGACTTTAGCCATCCCCTTATTTGAGACGTTCCTTTGTTTCCCGTGCCCAACCTACCTGATCTTGCATCCTGATTGGTCGATTAAATATCAATATAACTTCTTTTTTTTTGATTTTTTTACAGTACCGCTTACAACAGGACGATTTCAGCTTTTTTTTCAGAAGGAAATTTGCCAGTCAGTTTTCAGCTTTTTTTTCAGAAGGAAATTTGCCAGTCAGTTGCATAAAGAAGTTTTTGTTTTTATATTATTGTTTTCTTTTAAGACTGGTTGCAGAAGAAGGATTCCACAACTACGGTGGGTATCTGCTTGTTACCTGCCTTATGGTCTGCTTGTCCGTT